GTTAGCCAGAGAAATTACGGTTGACCAAAGCGCACTCACGCCTGACGTGATTCACAGATCGACAGCATCATCAATGGACATGTTAATTTACTGGTAGAACCGTATCAACTGGAAAATTGGTGCGGATTTTCTGACAAGCGTCAGAAAGTGATGAAGATAAGATAGAGTATGCACTGTGACCAGTAGGTCTATTGCGCCCTCAGCTCATCACAAAACCCCTAGGGTTAGACTCTATAATTTTCAGAATGGAACCCATGGGTAGGCTTGGCCATAGATGCCCTATACTCCTCTCTCTTCTACGTAAAACGGCCTCACACTCCAGACGAAGGTATAATGATGTCTGCTAGGCGGGGTCACAGAAGCGACGTAGGTCGCTAGCTTACGCAAATGGCCGCTTAGCCTACAAGGGTTCGTCAAAATGCCTGCAATAATTCTTAGTTTCTCCTTGACGCGGACCGGTGGTGCTACGTCAGTGAAGTTGTTTCTGTTTAGTATTTTCCTTTCTGAGCGCTTCTTCTATCGGTCGGGGGACCTATCGAAAGGAAGGAAGGGCTCAGGTTCTATCGAGGTCGAGGCAGCAGCCATGTTGGCTAACTGATCGGCTTCCTCATTTCCTTCAACTCCCATGTGCACTGGTACCCATGACAATTGGATATAATTAATTTCAGCCATGGCATTAAGCTTCTCTATACACTCTAGGGCCACTAAGGCTTTGACCTCGAAGGATGAGAGAGTTTTGAGTGCCTCTTGAGTATCAATTAAAATTAGTTAAATCTGCATACAGACTGCTGGCATAGACTTCCGTTTGGAAAATGCTTAGAAAGGTTCCTACGGCCGCCGAAAACGGCAGTCTTAGGTCATACATACCTGGCTACCTTAAAGTTTCTTTCGAAAACTACTATCTATGCATATCATCTGTGGGGAGCAGAACTAATGGCAGCTGAAAGCCTTTATTTTTCCATACATATACATATGTATTTAGGTTTTATCGAAATTATAGCCAATTTTATTAAATTTTCACAATTTTTACAAAATATGCGTAAATAAATGCACAAGTACAATAAGGGTACATTTACTACATATGCATACTATGTATGTAAATGCAAGTACGCATAAAGAAAGACACATCAAAATATAAAAATTCAAATTATTCATTAGTAATTCCACAATTTAGCGGCGTCGATGACGTCTCGAACCGCGTCGACTGCGGCTCCGGCTACGAGCAGCGCGTCTCTTTCGTCGCCGCATACCACGACCTTCCAACTCGCCACCACTGTCCTCGGAGTTATCTTTATTATCTTTCGGTTCTAGTTCGCCAGCTTCTTCGGCAACGATCATATCCAAGTCAACCGGTGCGGCATAGTACTTCCGCTGGGAGCGTTGTATAAAGCCGTAGCGGACGCCACCATTTAAAGTCTCTTGCACTGATTCCTTGACCTCATTGGGATGCACCTGCGGAGGGTATGGAAAAAAATTAAAATTTAATGCTGTGTGCACCGCACCGGCTTTCCATTGGAAAACTCTTAAAAGAAAAATTGTTACTTACGCCAGCTGTGGCAGCGATATGCGTTACAATTTTGCTGACCGTTACTGGTTCTTCTAGATTTTGCAAAGTTTGCAGAATTAATTGCCCATTTTGATTAGCCATTTGTTGCGAAAATTCAAACGCAATCGTTCAACAAAAAAAAACCGTTCCGCCTGCCTGTATTGTCCACCGGCACGTGAGCGCTTGTTATTTGGTTTATCAGTGAGTTTGTAAAATTTTCAAATTAATTTTTGAAAAATTTGGACACGATGTGTTTGTAAAATTTAAATTTATTTTGCTCTAATACGACAAAGAAAAATTGTTTTCAATACGATGAAAGTTTGTTGAAGTTTTGCGCCTTGATTAGAGATTGTAGACGAAAATTTGTTTCGAGTGCAAGCAAGGTGTTGTCAGTAGCGACGTGTTTGTTGTAATTTTGACAAGATCGGCATGCTTATTTCCAGTGCTGCCGATCTTAATTTTTATACTACTATTCGTTGGGAAATAGTATCTAAAATACTCCATTTTAGTATTTCGTTTTATCGCGATTTTTAAAGAACTTGGTGTTTTCAGAACGATATTAATATTTAAAATTGCTGGGTTTGTATAATTTGTGTCCTCAAAATATAAAATATAAAAGATACCGTGGTGATCAATGGAAAAAGACGTACACAAAAATCGTATGAAAGGCGATTTTTTTATATTAAATATCTTTTGCTGCATTGTCATAATATCGAGCCAAATGGACTACTGATACACTAGAATAGAGCGTATTACGATGTCGCTTATATTA